TCAATATAACTGAAATGGTCAGTTGACCCCTTTAGGAGAAATTGCCCTTTATAGTCAATTTTTAACCATTTTTCGTAAATCTTAGTAATCTTTTACAAAAATCTTCTCCTCTGAAACAACTCGGCCAAATTAAACCAAACTTGGCCACAATCATCATTGGGGTATCTAGTTTAAAAAATGTGTGGCGTGACCCGGCCAACCAACCAAGATGGCCGCCACAGCTAAAAATAAAAGATAGGGGTAAAATGCAGTTTTTGGCTTATAACTCAAAAACCAAAGCATTTAGAGCAAATCTGACATGAAGTAAAATTGTTTATCAGGTCAAGATCTATCTGCCCTAAAATTTTCAGATGAATCGAACAACCTGTTGTTGGGTTGCTGCCCCTGAATTGGTAATTTTAAGGAAATTTTGCTGTTTTTGGTTATTATCTTGAATATTATTATAGATAGAGATAAACTGTAAACAGCAATAATGTTCAGCAAAGTAAGATTAACAAATAAGTCAACATGACTGAAATGGTCAGTTGACCCCTTTAGGAGTTATTGCCCTTTATAGTCAATTTTTAACAATTTTTCGTAAATCTTAGTAATCTTTTACAAAAATCTTCTCCTCTGAAACTACGTGGCCAAATTAAACCAAACTTGGCAACAATCATCATTTGGTTATCTAGTTTTAAAAATGTGTGGCGTGACCTGGTCAACCAACCAAGATGGCCGCCACGGCTAAAAATAGAACATAGGGGTAAAATTCAGTTTTTGGCTTTTAACTCAAAAACCAAAGCATTTAAAGCAAATCTGACATGGGGTAAAATTGTTCATCAGGTCAAGATCTATCTGCCCTGAAATTTTCAGATGAATCGGACAACCCGTTATTGGGTTGCTGCCCCTGAATTGGTAATTTTAAGGAAATTTTGCTGTTTTTGGTTATTATCTTGAATATTATTATAGATAGAGATATACTGTAAACAGCAATAATGTTCAGCAAAGTAAGATTTACAAATAAGTCAATTAACCGAAATGGTCAGTTGACCCCTTTAGGAGTAATTGCCCTTTATAGTCAATTTTTAACCATTTTTCGTAAATCTTAGTAATCTTTTACAAAAATCTTCTCCTCTGAAACAACTGGGCCAAATTAAACCAAACTTGGCCACAATCATCATTTGGTTATTTAGTTTTACAAATGTGTGGCGTGACCTGGTCAACCAACCAAGATGGCCGCCACGGCTAAAAATAGAACATAGGGGTAAAATTCAGTTTTTGGCTTTTAACTCAAAAACCAAAGCATTTAAAGCAAATCTGACATGAAGTAAAATTGTTTATCAGGTCAAGATCTATCTGCCCTGAAATTTTCAGATGAATCGGACAACCCGTTGTTGGGTTGCTGCCCCTGAATTGGTAATTTTAAGGTAATTTTGCTGTTTTTGGTTATTATCTTGAATATTATTATAGATAGAGATAAACTGTAAAAAACGATAAATGTCGGCCAAGTAAGATCAACAAATAAGTCAACATGACCGAAATTGTCAGTTGACCCCTTTAGGAGTTATTGCCCTTTATAGTCAATTTTAACCATTTTTTCGTAAATCTTAGTAATCTTTTACAAAAATCTTCTCCTCTGAAACTACTGGGCCAAGTTAATTATAGATAGAGATAATTGTAAGCAGGAAAAATGTTCAGTAAATTAAGATGTACAATATAAAATTGAGAATGGAAATGGGGAATGTGTCAAAGAGACAACAACCCGACCACAGAACAGACAACAGCAGAAGGCCACCAACAGGTCTTCAATGCAGCGAGAAATTCCCGCACCCGGAGGCGTCCTTCAGCTGGCCCCTAAACAAATATATATACTAGTTCAGTGATGATGAACGCCATACTAAACTCCAAATTGTACACAAGAAACTAAAATTAAAAATAATACAAGACTAACAAAGGCTAGAGGCTCCTGACTTGGGACAGGCGCAAAAATGCGGCGGGGTTAAACATGTTTATGAGATCTCAACCCTCCCCCTATACCTCTAGCCAATGTAGAAAAGTAAACGCATAACAATACGCACATTAAAATTCAGTTCAAGAGAAGTCCGAGTCTGATGTCAGAAGATGTAACCAAAGAAAATAAACAAAATGACAATAATACATAAATAACAACAGACTACTAGCAGTTAACTGACATGCCAGCTCCAAACTTCAATTAAACTGATTGAAAGATTATGGCTTCATCATATGAATATCAAGCACAATCCTTCCCGTTAGGGGTTTAGTATCATACCATCATAACATATATGAGAAGAACATAACCCGTGTCATGCCAACAACTGGTTTTTAAATAAATGTGTTTAGTGCCGATGCAAAGACCCTATAAGTGAATCAATATTAACGCCAAAATATGCAATCTTTAATGACCACATCACCATCACCAAAACACAATTTTGTCATGAATCCATCTGCGTCCTTTGTTTAATATTCACATAGACCAAGGTGAGCGACACAGGCTCTTTAGAGCCTCTAGTTTTTAATTTTCAAATGATTATAAATTGAAAACCGTTTGTGATAGACACAATCTTTTTAATTGAAAATGTTCTAAATGATAAAACCCATTAAATGAAATACAGGGTTAGTCCCCAGGGGTCATCCCCACCCCCTGCCATTTAAGAAAGTTCTAATACCTTGTAAGTGGTCAAGATCCCCACCCCTAAACCATATATATTCTGGTTTGTCATGCTAAGATGGTTTGAATGATATACAGGGTTAGTCCCCAGGGGTCATCCTGACCCCCTGCCATTTGAGAAAGTTCTAATATCTTGAAAATGGTCGAGATCCCCACCCCTAAACCATATATATTCTGGTTTGTCATGCTAAGATGGTTTGAATGATATACAGGGTTAGTCCCCAGGGGTCATCCCCACCCCCTGACATTTGAGAAAGTTCTAATATCTTGTAAATGGTCGAGATCCCCACCCCTAAACCATATATATTCTGTTTTGTCATGATAAAACACATGAAATGAAATACAGGGTTAGTCCCCAGGGGTCACCCCCACCCCATGCCATTTAAGAAAGTTCTAATATCTTGTAAGTGGTCAAGATCCCCACACCTAAACCATATATATTCTGGTTTGTCATGCTAAGATGGTTTGAATGATATACAGGGTTAGTCCCCAGGGGTCATCCCGACCCCCTGCCATTTGAGAAAGTTCTAATATCTTGTAAATGGTCGAGATCCCCACCCCTAAACCATATATATTCTGGTTTGTCATGCTAAGATGGTTTGAATGATATACAGGGTTAGTCCCCAGGGGTCATCCCGACCCCCTGCCATTTGAGAAAGTTCTAATATCTTGTAAATGGTCGAGATCCCCACCCCTAAACCATATATATTCTGGTTTGTCATGATAAAGCACATCAAATGAAATACAGGGTTAGTCCTCAGGGGTCACCCCCACCCCCTGCCATTTAAGAAAGTTCTAATGTAAGTGGTTAAGATCCCCACCCCTAAACCATATATATTCTGGTTTGTCATGCGAAGATGGTTTGAATGATATACAGGGTTAGTCCCCAGGGGTCACCCCCAGCCCCTTCTATTTAAGAAAGTTCTAATATCTTGTAAGTGGTCAATATCCCCACCCCTAAACCATATATATTCTGGTTTGTCATACCAAGATGGTTTGAATGATATACAGGGTTAGTCCCCAGGGGTCACCCCCACCCCCTGCTATTTAAGAAAGTTCTAATATCTTGTAAGTGGTCAAGATCCCCACCCCTAAACCATATATATTCTGGTTTGTCATACCAAGATGGTTTGAATGATATACAGGGTTAGTCCCCAGGGGTCATCCCGACCTCCTGCCATTTGAGAAAGTTCTAATATCTTGTAAATGGTCGAGATCCCCACCCCTAAACCATATATATTCCTGTTCATCATGTCTCGAACATTTGAATGACGTATACAGTCAGTCCCCACTGGGTTCCCCCCACCCCCAATGTTCTAATATCTTGTAAATGGTCGAGAACCCCACCCCTAGACCATATATATTCCTGTTCGTCGTTTCTCGAACATTTGAATGATGTATAGGGTCAGTCCCCGGGGGTTCCCCCCACCCCCAATGTTCTAGTATCTTGTAAATGGTCGAGATCCCCACCCCTCAACCATATATATTCTGGTTTGTCATGCCAAGATGATTTGAATGATTTACAGGGTTAGTCCCCAGGCATCACTAATGCACTAACTTTACTGGACCAAACCAATTTTCACTGGACTTTGTCCAATGTCAGGCGACACTGGGAATTACGAATTATGGGAGCTTCGTTTGGGAGACTTCGTAACAGCATCCTGTTACAATCATTTCTTGTCTTGAATATTGTTATAGATAGAGATAAACTGTTTTGTCATGAATCCATCTGTGTCCTTTGTTTAATATGCACATAGACCAAGGTGAGCGACACAGGCTCTTTAGAGCCTCTAGTTATTTTTCACCCTTTATTGTGTGCGGCATTTAATAGTAAAACATGTAAATCTACAAAACACTGTGGATGTCTACCATATCTACACAAAAGAGTGGACATCTGATATCAACAACTCCTTAATCTACATGCTAGATATCATCCATAGAATCATTTTCCTAACAGATAATCTAAAGTATACATCTCCAATTTTATTTTTGGATATGAATGACTTTGATCACATAGAGAAGTATGGACTTTGCAATATTTACAAATTTGGATATGAATCTTGTATCTGTAACGTCTCTTCATTGAAACTTTCATAAATCTTCAGAACTCAATAGCAATTTATAATTACACTACATATTAGATTTATTAATCAGAATGATATTTTTTAAAGTTTTCCCCTTGCAAAACATGAACTTTGCCATATGTATTTACTTATTTGAAAGAGTGTATTTTTTTTAATTACATCAGGGATACGATTTAGAAATTAAAAATCATTTATACACAAGTACAGGGCCATGTGCACGCAGTTTGATAAAGTGAGAAGAAATTTACCTGTATATTGTTTAATATCATTTTCATTGACAGCCTCTTCATTCAAACCATTAACCAATGATAAACAAACAAACAAAACTGCAAGTACCAGTGTCTTTTTCATAGCCATCATAAAAATCGTTACTACTCTACCTGTATAATTATGAAATACAGTCATATTTAAGACTTAAAAAAGTCGCTGCTCATCGTCCAGTGGTTAATTAAATTTATATTTACGATGAGAATATGTTATTATATGAAGATGAAGCATGCTTTGTACTAGACATACATGCTGAGTCAGATTATTTTAATGTGCTAAGTTCACAAGGCAATCCCCAGAGAAAAACTTATGCATGCTTAATGTGCATATTCTCATCCATGCTTCATGTGCATGCATATGTATGACATATGTTATGCTTTATGTATATTATGTCAGGTGAATATGTAATTACCTGTAGTCATTTGCAAGTAACCAAAGATGTAACATTTTATTTATAAATTCAGTTTTGTTTTATTGAAATGAAAGTACACACAAATGTACTGACACTGAAATTAAAAATGTATTTTTAAACTGAATTTAAAATAGTATAAGCAATTTAAATTCATAGTAATTTGAATTTTAGTTACTCTAAGACTATATATGATAAATGAAATAATGTAATAATGTTAAATTCATACTCACAAAGACTGTATATTGTTTTATATGTCTTTTACGTGTAAATTACTAGAGAATCAAAATAACCATAAAAATAATATTGCTTTAAATTACCGGTAACAGGATAGTCACTCTCCAATCCAGGAAGTATAAATGAAAGGATTGAAGGAAATTGTGAAATATATGAATAAACAATGTGACACTCAAAGTCACATGTCTAAAGTATGCATTTTTTAACTGTCTTACTAATAGATACAAGTTATCGATTTGAATCTTATGTTCAAATGTACAGGTGAAGTGTAATCTAAGTTAAGGGTGAATGAACTTTCATGATGGGGTCATATTAAGTTGGATATTTTTATTTATCTATACTCAAATACCTCTTAAGATAGTATGTAAAATAGGGCATTCTTCTTTTTTCAAAAGTGGCTATGTTTTTTGGGGGGAGAAATCTATATGTAAGTATTTTTAAGAAAAAATTATAAAGTTCAAAAAATGATATTTTGTTAGTTAAAAAAATTGAAAGGAGACATGTGCTAGCACATATTTGATAGTCTAGACTAAAATTTCTTTCAAATGATTGATGGGTATGTGATATCTTAAATGTTCACAAAAATTTCAAGGTTACAAAAAAAAAGAGAAATGCTTTAAATGTCACTCAGTGCATAGATTTAATAAAATTTGTGAAAAGGAAATATTTTGAAAAAGAACTAAGTCAATATTTAAAAGAAAATGGTTTTTTTTTTATTGACACCTTTACACTTTACATTAAAAATTATTTTGTTGGTTCTTGCACTGGTGCTCTTTATTTCTTAGTTGATTAGTAATTGAAAGTCTAAAATTGCAAAATTCTTGACAATGTTTTAAAGTTCTTTTTATGCAGTTATATTAAAATACATTTATAGTGAAGTCATGGCCTCAAAAAATCTTGTACACGTACATCTTCAATAGAAAAAAAAATTGCCAATTTCAGTAAAAAAAATGTGGGAAATATATGAAAACCTTTATCACACTGTTTCCTTTCAATTCTCTTCTAAAATATCTTTTTTTCGCCTGATAAGAAGATGTGTTATGTCATTAAAGTTGCACTTATTTTTTATTATAATGAGCTAACTTTTTTGGTACATTTTTAGGAATGACTGTAGTATTTTTTCTATGAAGAAATAACATAAAAAATTGTGGTGCACACTGAATAGCCCGGGTAGCGGGTTATTAAAAAGCATGCACCACATTTTTGAGGTTATTTCGATTAGACAGAAAATATTACAGTCTTTCCTTATAAATTAATTCTAAATTCCATTTTAAGGAGGAAATCATGAAAAAACGTTGATGACATCACGAGCACATGACAAAATTATGTCTATGAGCTGATAGACAAAAAACTTTCAGCCAATCAGAAGAGTTAAATTCCAAATCATAGGCTGATCTAGGGGGGCCTGGACCCCCCTTTTGTGGGAAAAATTTGGTTGATTATATAGGGAATCACTGAAGCATGACTTGAGCGGCCCCCCTTATAAAAAGTTCTGGATCTGCCACTGCAAATTAAATTATTGGTATATAATGATGACCTACAGATTGAGTTTAGGTTTCATTCATGTACATGTCTCTTTTAAAAAAGTGTAAAAAGAATTTCTTCTAAGGGAGCAACCATTTAACTTCAAGGGGGGGGGGGGGGTTATGGTTTTTTGTCTGAGTCAGAAAAATTTGTTCACGCTTTTTTTTTTTGACGCTATCAATCAAATTATCTTTTTCAAAATTTAACACTATAAGGTATGGGGAAAATCTGGATTCAGAATATTTTTTTTTGTCATCTGCTTGACCATAATATTTGTTTTCATCAAATTGGGGATCAGAATATTTTTTTAGGAAAAAACCATAACCCCCCTTGAAGTTAAATGGTCATTCCCTAAGGTTAAAGTTTTTGGTAGGTAGTTTACCATGAAGTTGTGGTTACATAAACTTTATACTTAGAATACATGTTCATTGTGAGATGACCTTTTAAAATTGTATACCAAGTCATGAATTTGACCTTGATTTTATGGTTTACTGAACATGGACATATAAAAGGTGAGTTTGGCATGGTGTCCTATGGACACATTTTTTTGTCTCGCCTTGACGGAATCAAAAAGCGAGACATAGGTATGCTGTTTCCGGCGTTGACGATGGTGACGGCGGCGGTGGTGGTGGGGGCGGTGTCAACAATGTATTAGTTTGTGATTAGGTCTAGTTCATGGTGAACCACTAGTGGTAGGTCAATGATATTTGGTATGCAGTTGTATTAGCATTGGCACATCTCATTACAATGGAGATTATTTGGCCCCGCCCCCTCAGTCAAGGTCTATTGACTTTGAAACTTTTCATAGTTTACATGTATTAGTTTGTCATAAGGTCAATTTATGGGGAACCACTAGTGGTACGTCAATGATATTTGGTATGCAGTTGTATAAGCATTGGCATATCTCATTTTCATGGAGATTATCTAGCTCCGCCCCCTAAGTCATGGTCTATAGACTTTGAAAATTTTGCTTAGTTAACATGTATTAGTTTGTGATTAGGTCAGTTCAAGGGGAACCATTAGCAGTAGGCCAATGTTAATTGCTGTTCAGTTGTATAAGCATTAGCACATCTCATTTCCATGGAGAATATTTGGCCCTGCCCCCTCAGTCATGGTCTATTGACTTTGAAACTTTTGCTTAGTTTACATGTATTAGTTTTTGATTAGATCAGTTTAAGATGAACTGCTAATGTTAAGTCAATGATATTTGCATTGGCAAGTATCTTTTCCTTGGAGATTATATAGCCCCACCCCTGATCATGGTTCGTTGACTTTGAAACTTTTACATAATTTACAAGTTAATGTTTGTGTTTAGGTTTGTTTAAAGGGAACGACTTATAATAAGTCAATGGTATTTGGTATGCAGTTGTATTAGCATTGGCACATCTCATTTCATGGAGATTGTTTAGCCATGTACCTTCAGTCATGGTTCATCGACTTGAATATTTGCATAACTTACATGTTAAAGTATTGCTATTTTGATTTCAACATTTGCATTATCAAAATTACAAATAGGCGAGACATATCTCTGTGATAACAGTTTATTGGTTTTTAGAATCATCGGTATCAAAAATTATGAAGTACAAGTCATAGGGTTATCAAATTTTTGATGGTAGTGTCAACATTGAATGACATTTAGTGATGTGATATCAAACAAATCGGATTAGACAGTTACTGTATCATGGAGCTCTATAACTCTTTATGATGCACATTTATGAATCTTGAATTAATCTTTCTTATATTTTTTTTTAGTACAAGAAGCTTTCTTTAAAAGTATGTAGGCATATATTTCCTAATTCAATGCTATTGCGAGAAGCAAATAACAAATATGATAGCATATGACCTTTACTTTGTCATTAGATCCGCTCTCAATCTCATTTATAGTTTGTTCAAAATTTTAATACCATATTCAAACAATTAAACAATTAAAATATATTATACAAAAAATTAGGGAAACAATTAAAATATATTATACGAAAAAATTAGGGAAACAATTGAAATATATTATACAAAAAATTAGGAAAACAATTAAAATATATTATACAAAAAATTAGGGATTAAGAATGAAGAAGAATTCTCTTTTTTCATAGCTTATATGTTTTAAGTGTCAATTCAGGGTCTATGAGGAATGACTAATTTAAAAGTGCCAGAGTCACTTTGTGATAGACAAATTGTTCAAAGTTAGAAAAAAATGTTTTACAAAACAATTAATGATATTAAATATCAATATCCTGTTTAGAAAGTATGAATTATTTAGTTGTTGTAAATTTTTTTGATGTATTTCTAGATAATGTACTTAACTGACCCTTTACCAATTGTTATAATGGCCTTTGTTCTACACCACTGTCCCAATACTGGTTAGGGGAGGGTTGGCACCTTCAAACGTGTTTAACCCCGCCACATTCTGTATGTGCCTGTCCCAAGTCAGGAGCCTGTAATTCAGTGGTTGTAGTTTGTTGCTGTGAAACATATTTGTTTTTCATTCTTTTTTTTGTACATAAATTAGGCCGTTCGTTTTCTCGTTTGAATTGTTTAACATTTGTCATTTCGGGGCCTTTTATAGCTGACTATACGGTATGGGCTTTGCTCATTGTTGAAGGCTGTACTGTGACCTATAGTTGTTAAATTCTGTGTCATTTGGTTTCTTGTGGAGAGTTGACTCATTGGCAATCATACCACATCTTCTTATTATATGACTGCAAAACATTTTTTGGTCGTATATTGGTATCACGTCGTCGCCTGCGTGGTCAGCGTCGTCCGAAGACAGTTGGTTTCCAGACAATAACTTTAGTATAATTAATTAGAAATCTATGAAATTTAAACACAAGGTTTATAACCGCAAAAATAAGGTTGGGATTGATTTTGGGGGTTATGGTCCTAACAGTTTAGGAATTTGGGGCCAAAAAGGGGCCCAAATAAGCATTTTTCTAGTTTCCAGACAATAACTTGTGGAACGGTGTATGGATCTCTCTGAAATTATACCACAAGTTTCCATACCACAAAGGGATGGTTTGGATTTGCCTTGGGGGGTTATGGCTCAAACCGTTTAGGAATTAGGGGCAAAAAAGGGGGAAAAACAAGGGTTTCCTGGTAAATGGACAATTTAATTTAAGACAATTTAAAAGCAGTGTAAGGGAGGTAATCCAAACACAACATTTTGATTACCTCCCTTACACTGCTTTTAAATTATGTATACAGAAATGTTGTATTGTCTTGAGATGATTAGCTGTCAATTTATTTTTAGAAGTTATATCTAATTATATATAGGAATCTAATTGTATAACCATGATTATGTATGTCATTTTCTATTTTAAGACTTTTATGATGTATTTAAATGGGTTATTATGGTTGCAAACTCCATTGGAAATTTGAATTGAGATTATGACCATATCTTGAGGGAAAGAATTTCTTTTGGGGGAAAAAGGGGGGTAAAGAAATTGTGGGGGGTAAATTTTTTCTCATTTCAGATTTCAGAAAAATTCTATTTTTGCAAAAAAAAAGGGGGGGTCAATACGCAACAGCATAGTGTATTGCATAAAAGCAAAAAAAAGGGGGGGTGAAAATTTATTTTTTTTTGTGGGGGGAGGGGGGTCAATTCACAACAGCACAGTGTATTGCACAAAAGCAAAAAAAATTAAATATAAATTCAAATCATATAACCAATTCTAAGTTCTTTGACTACAGTTATTCTGTGTCAGAAACCTTTTATGTGTCAAATATTTAATTACAATCCAAATTCAGACCTGTATCAAGCGCGAATATTGTGTCCATTTTTGCCCCAAATGTTCAGGGTTGGACCTCTGCGGTCGTATCCAGCTGCGCTCGGCGAAGCAGTTTATTTTATATTTGTTCTAATAAATTATTGTCTGTTGTCGATTAAACATTGTGTCTTGAAATGATTACCGGTAACAGTCTCCCATAGAAATTTGGTCAATCTGACCTAAATTTTTAAGCTTCATTAGCTTTAATACTGTTAAGTTCTAAGCCCTAGTGTATTTCAGATACTTTATATTGACCCCAATTGTATATTTCATTGACTTATATTTAGTAGTAAGTGCACATAAATTGTTTGTAAGGATGCATCTAAGAAAGTGTAACCAATTCATGTACCAGGAAAACTAGTCACTCTGACCTATATTTTAGGCTTCATAGATTTGTATTGAACCTCCAAGCTCATATCTTGGATACTTCATGATAACATTGCAGTTTTTTCTCACTACTTGGTGATCAATTTCATGTCAATTACAGTCATTTATTATAATTATAATTATACTTGTATATAAGTTTTATTAAGCCAATTTGGGAACATAGTTAATTTTATAACTGTAGATTAGCTACATGCAGCTATGCTTAAACTAACTTTTTTGAATTTATATATTTCACTTTAATTTCTTTTCAGCAAAGATTCCAAAGAAAAAAAGAAAGAAGAAAAAATGGACAAAAGGTTTATTTTCTTTTTTTTCTGTATAAAAATTATGGGGTGCTAGTCATAGTTTGTATTTATTTTTCAATTATAGTACATGTACATAGAAAAGATAACAGGAACTGCAAACAGTTTTGGATAGTACAGCCCAGGAACACCAGAATCCGTTTGAAAATGATGAATGTACAAATCAAGACAAACAAAAATAAACAATGCATAGTCCAGTTAGCTTGACTTGGTACAAGCAAGAAATGTTGGATTTTTTTACCAAATTTTATATGCACACAATCCCTTCCACCTGTGGATTATCTAGGCCATTTGTTGCAAAAGTAAAACACCCTAGAAAAACCTGCACAGTTAAGCTTCAAACAACATGTGACATTCAGCTCGATATCAAACAAATAAGATTCAACAATGATGTATGTATTTTAAAATGCATCATAGAAATCTATAGCTCTTTATAAATATCATGGCATGAATACTTAATTGACCACTCTAATATATTTTGGTGTGAGTTATTTTCTTTGATCAGTAGTAACTAGTGAATTGCTGCAATACAAGGCTATTATGAGAATAAACAAATAACCTTTGATCTTAGCTTTATTACTAGCTGAAAATTTGACTTAGATGACAAGTTTGTTAGAAGTTGAAATACTGTAGTATATTTATATAAGTCAAAGATGATTTACAAATTTACATAGATTATAGTGGGAAAAAGAATTACTTTCAACATGGCTCATCATTCAGGCAAACCAGTAGTACTTTAATGGGGAAAATCACAATAGTTTCTCAATTTAACTGCATATTTGAACATATATGCATTTATTTTAGTGATAAAGACAGCGAAACAAGAATGTAGAACAGAGGAAGTTGGCAGATTCTCTTCAAAGGCAAAGAGTAGAGATCAAATGGAAGTCACCTTGGACAGACCATGGGATTTAGGAACGGAAAATATTGATTTAGATCAAGAAGATGTTGCTGATTTATCAAATTCAGATACAGAAATGGACACAGCACAGATATTACATAATCCTGGAGAAAAGAAGGATAAAGCTGACTCAATTAAAAATGAACCAAAAAGATTAGACAAAGTCAATAGTGAATTTTCTGTATCAACACGTAATAGGGAAATATATATTTCGCTAAGGAAAGAAAGGGAAACTGGTGTTAATCAAACAATCATTTCCACTCCAGGTATATTTCTTTTCAATAAATGTTTATGCACACTAGTTTAGCAAGGGCAGGGTGCAGTGAAAGGGTTAGATATTGTGTGTGCTCATCAGTATACTTTCTTCCACTTTGTATCCAATACCCAATGTTCAATTATAAAACTTGGACTTTTCCACATCCACAACATGTGCATCTTATTGTTATTATTATGGTCCCGCCAACTAGGTGGTTAGGGTTAGGGTTTAGTGTTAGGGCTAGGTCCTACTGAAGGTCGGTGGTTCTGCCCAGGCACTCTGGCTTACTCTACCAATAAAAACTGACTGCCACCAAATAGCGCCATAGTGCTTAAAGTGGCGTTAAACACCAATCAATCAATCTATAGCTTTTATTTTAATTACTCATTTTCGTGAATTTTGAATTATTTTTTCTTTCATTTTATTTTGGTACAAGTTGCTTTCTTTAGAATGATGTAGGCATAGATTTCCTAATGCAATGCTATTGTGAAAAGCAAATAACAAAATTAATGCCATATGACCTTTACTTTGTCTCCAGATTCGCAATTGACCTCAATCATAGATTGTTCAAAATTTTAATACCATATTTAGACAAGTAAAAATATGATATAAAAATGAATAGGGATTTAGAGTGAGGAAGAACTATTTTTTTATGATACTTATGATCACTTATAGTTCATATTGTTTAAGTGTCAATTCAGGATCCTAGAAATGACTAATTTAAAAGTGCTTGAGTCACTTTGTGATAGACAAAATGTTCAAAGTTAGAAATATTAAGTATCAATATTCTGTTTAGAAAGTATTGATTATTTAGTTGTTGTAATTTTTTTTTATGTATTTCTATACAATGTTCTAAATTGAGCCTTTACCAATTGTTGAAATTGCATTTGTTCTGATAAAATATTGTCTATTGTCTATTAAACATTGTGGAACAATGTGTCTTGAAATTAATAACAGTTTCCCAAAGAAATTTGGTCACTCTGACCTAATTTTTTAAGCTTAATTAACTACTGTTAAGTTTTACATCTAGTGTAGATCTTAGGTAATGTATATTGACCCCCAATTGTATATTTCATTGACTTATACTGAGTAGTAAGTTTAAGCTCATTTTTCAATCAGTAACCTACAATCACATAAATTCATTGTTAGGATGCATCTGAGAAAGTATAACAACTTCATGAACATGTACCAGGAAAAGTAGTCACTCTGACCTATATTTAGGCTTCATTAATATGTATTGAACCTACAAGCTCATATCTTAGGGATAATTTTTCAATCTTTTTCTCACTGATGATCAGTTCCACTCAATAGCTGTTTTATTTTATAATGATACATGTATATTTAAGATTTGTTGCAATATTAGGGCTCAGGCTACTCAAATAACCTTTGACCTTAGCTTTATTTTTAGCTAAATACTTGAATTGGATGACAAGTTGTTTGAAGTTCAAATACTATATTTATATAAGTCAAAGATGATTTACAAATTAACAGAGAGAGAAAAAACTTTTCAACATAGCTCATTATTGCAGTAAACCAGTATTCATGGTATTACTCTGATGAAAAAAATCACAAAAATTCCTTATTTGACTAAATGTTATTTTAGTGAAAAAGATCGCAAAAAAAGAATGTAGAACAGAGGAAGTTGGCAGATTCTCATCTGAAGTAAATGTATCTGAGCATGCTTACTGCACAGTTGGTAGGGGTCAAATGAAAGCCACCTTGGACAGACCATGGGATTTAGGAACAGAAAATGTTGATTTAGATCAAGAAAATGTTGCTGATTTATCTAATTCAGAAATGGAAATGGACACAGCACAGATATTACATAATCCTGGAGACAAGAAGGGTAATTCTATATGTGCCCATCCCAAGTCAGGAGCCTGTAATTCAGTGGTTGTTGTTTTTTGCTGTATATCATATTAGTTTTTTGTTCATTATTTTGTACTTATTAATACAGGCCGTTAGTTTTCTCGTTTGAATTGTTTTACATTTGTCGTTTCGGGGTCTTTTATAGCTGACTATGCGGTATGGGTTTTACTCATTGTTGAAGGCCTTACGGTGACCTATAGTTGGTAATTTCTGTGTCATTTGGTCTCTTGTGGTGAGTTGTCTAATTGGCAATCATACATCTTCTTATTTTTATAAAGGTGACTCTGTTACAAATGAACCAAAAAGATTGGACAAAGTCAAAAGTGAATTTTCTGTATTAACACGTTTTAGAGGAATATATATTTTACTAAGGAAAGAAAAAGATACTGGTGTTAATCAAGCAATCATTTCCACTCCAGGTATATTTCTTTTCAATAGATGTTTTTGCACACTTATCTAGCAAAGGCAGGGGGCAGTGAAAGAATTGGATATTATGTGTGCTCATCACTTTACCTTCTACTAAAATTTCAATACCAAATGTTCATTTATAAAACTTGGACTTTTCCACATTAACAACATGTGCATCTTATTTACATTATTATGGTCCCGCTAACTAGGTGGGATGTCCTGTAGAAATCACCACATTTGTCAGCACTTATATGTTGATAAGTCAAGATTGTCTCAACCGATGACCATATTTGTTATGCAGTGTTTATACTATGATCAATAAAAAAAGTCCCTTTTAATTGTTACACAACCGCAAAAAAATTTTGGGGTTGTATATTGCTATCATGTCGTCGTCAGCGGTGTTGTCGTCCGAAGACATTTGGTTTCCGGACAATAGCTTAAGTTTATTGGGAGGGTGTCAATTTTTTTCCTTCAAGATTTAAGAAATTGTCAATTTTCCAAAGAAAAATTGGGGGTCGCAATTCCTAATTCTTTGTATATAGTCTGAAAACAGATTTACTAAATATTGCGCAACAGCACAGTGTATTCCACAAAAGCAAGATCTTCAATTTAATATAAAATCAAATCATATAACCAATTTTAAGTTCTTTGACTACATTTATTCTGTGTCAGAAACCTTTAATGTGTCAAATATTTAATTACAATCCAAATTCAGACCTGCAACAAGCTTGAATATTGTGTCCATTTTTGCCCCAACTGTTCAGGGTTGCACCTCTGCGGTCGTATCCAGCTGCACTTGACGAAGCAGTTTATTTGAAAAATTGACAATTCCTAAACTTAGATAGAATATTAGTATTACATCTATTGCTGAGGAATTGTCAAGTGAAAATCTCATTTTAACATGTTATGTAGTATGGGGTATTCTCAAACTAGGTGAGCAATACATGTTTCTCAGAGCCTATACTCCTACCCCTTAAGGTGGTACCAAACACCTTGACTAAAATTAATTTGGCCCGTTTTCATAAAATTTTTACAAAATATTTACATTGTAGTGTTATGTACCACCTTAATTTAATTAGAAATGACTAACAATTCAGCAATATAATTTGGTATGCTGATGCATTTTGGATAGACTGGTCAAATGTCAGCAGAAGAAAGTCACATGATCCATACTGTAAACGTGAAAATGTTTGTTCAAGGCTTTATTTAGGGGTACTAATTTTGTATCCACATCTCCTCTTAACCTCCTTATAACATTTTATTGAAACGATAGTATAATTCTATGATCAGTTAAATATTACAGCAAGCAAAATTTGTTACTTTGAAAGCTTTAAGCTGAGAAATTTTATGCCCCCGCCGTAGCGGGGTTATTAAGTTTTGTCACTTTTACTGTTCTTCAGTTATGTCCCTTTATAACTTTATATGATATGCAAGCGGGGCATCATCTCTGTCCCATTGACACATTTCCCATTTATATTTTATACCCTGTATTATATTTATCAATCATACTGTATATGATATTTTCTTACAGATCTGGAGATTGTTGATGAAAAGAGTATCAGAAAAAGAAAATGTTTGGAAAATGTGGAAAAACCACAAACAGAGGTGAGTTCTCTATGATGTTTACTGTTTTTATTTTCTTTTGTCAGGACTGTAGAAGGAAGGACAATATAAAGATATACACAACAATTTTATGACTGCTCAATTGAACTTGATTTTTATAGTGTCCACAAGACAGGTTTGTTGAATTTTCAATGAAAGTATACTTTCATGATAAAGAGATTCACTGAATTCCAATGGCTATCTTTTAGTCAAAGTATTTGGTTGAAGAGAACATAATATTATGTCATTTGTGCAATTGTTTGGCATAAAATCTATGTAAGTACTTTTAGCAAAGGGATGAATGTCTTGTTAGGAAGGGGCCTCGGTGGCCGAGAGGTCTAAGTAGTTACTACTGTAATCACTAGCCAGTCAACACTGAGGTTGTGAGTTCGAACCCCGTTCGTGCGGGTGCACTTGACTCCAATCTTAATTGACTAGGATTGTCAGTTTTCCTATCGAAGGTCAGTGGTTTTCTCCAGGCACTCCGTCTTCCTCCACCAATAAAAACTGGCCGCCACAAAATAGCCCAAAAGCGGTGCTTAAAAGTGGTGTTAAAACACCAAAAATCAAATCAAATCAAATCTTGTTAGGAATAACTTCCCTATCACAGCTTAGATATATCTGAGAATGCTAAGCACCTTACCTAGAAACTTTGTATTGAGAAGAGCAAAAAATAATTTACATCATGATCACAAATACAAAAAGCACAAGATTATAATCAAATAATAAACAACATTTGGAGAAAAGTATTCTACCATGCCTGAGTTAAAGAATTTGAGCATCTAACTATCTTAATATCTGCTTTTGTTTTACTAGGCAGAATCCTCATCTTTTATAATCAACAAGACGGAAGCAATTAATATTAATAAAAGTGATATAGTTAAACCGGGTACTAATGATAAAGAAGATATTACAGGTAATTATGTAAAAGGTTATGTTTATAGATACACCCGGCCACCAAAATCTTTATTATAATATAGAGCCTAGGTGGTCGAGTGGTCTAGCGCGTCGGGCATAGTGCAAGGCGATTTGGTGCCACGATATCTCATTAGTATTAGTTCGAATCCCGGCCAGGGAAGAACAAAAAAATTTGCTTTCCGCAAATTTACAGATCTAACATTGTTGGGCTGTTGTTTAGACAAATTATATATACAGAATGTATTTTCAGCCTTGCATCACCATCACTGCTGGTGATCCTATGGATAAAATCTGTTGTAGAGTCGTCACTGGTTCAGACTTACTTATAATATAATTATTTCTGTGACTGCATCTTACATTAATTTGTAGGATCCTTTACAATAGATAATTCAGCTGATCTGTATCAATTCCATCTTCATGCCTTATATATCATGTACTGTGTTACGACGCTAGATAAAAATTGACAAGGAAAGGTAACACCCGGCCACGGAAAGCTTTATTATGATATAGAGCCTAGGTGGTCTAGCGCGTCTGGCATAGTGCAAGGCGATTTGGTGCCACGATATTTCAGTAGCATGAGTTCGAATCCCGGCCAGGGAAGAACAAAAAAAATTTGCTTCCGCAAATTTACAGATCTAACATTGTTGGGCTGTTGTTTAGACGAATTATATATAAAAAATAATTGATTATAAACTTCAAACATTTCTAAAACCTGTAAGGTTATGGTTCATGAATAATATTTGTATCTATTTTTTATCACCTATACAAGATTTGCAAAAAACTCAAAATGATAGGAACCAATTATTGACTTCTCTCAGAAGTTATTGCCCATAAAATAATGACTATTAGTGTTAACTTGTTTTTCTATTTTAAAAACTGATATAATCCAAAAAGATTGGTGCTTACAAAAATAAATGAACAGACAGTTTATGTCTGAAAGGTCAAGGTCACAAACTAGGTTCAATTTTACAGCCCAATTATCAAATATACAATCATGTCTGACCTGAATGTTTTGAATGCCTTAAAGGATATTGATTTTACTATGAAATATTGTTGCTAATGACCAGAGAGCAAGTTTTGAGTAAGGGGACGACCATTTGAAATTCTGGGGGGGGCCAGGAGGATTTGTTTTGGATCGGTTATTTATTTTTTGTAAACTAAGAGGACAGATTATCTATTTTCCGCACTATTGAAGCCAGATTTTTCATTTTCATTAAAGCAAGGGACTGATTATTTATTTTCACAACTATATTTAATATAATAACATAATATTCGAAAACATACAATTTTTAAATTATTTGTTTATTATAAATAATTCATGTATAGTCAAGTCATTATGTACCATTTAATCAAAATTAATTATTATCCTCTGCAGAAATGAATCTTCTATATTCCCCAATGCATATACATGTATTGCATACATACACAGTATTAAAGTTTGGTTGTAACTAAGGCTCTTTTAAAAGTATTGGCAAACATGTTTCGCCGAGCGGAGCGAGGCTAAATTTTTTTTTGAAGGGTTTTTGAACCGCTGAAGGCCCAAGAAGCTATAGAAGAAATGATGCAAAATCATGCCTTCTGGGTGTTCCCCAGACCCTTTCTTAAACTGAAAATGCAAGTTCTGTTTTAATAATTGTATGACAATATTTTGGTCTCAAAGCAAAATCACGTTATAGATTCAGTGTAAGACTTAAGTTTCTAGGAACAACATCAAAAGATATGGGAAGTGTTTCCCGATTTTTTTTTTGGAAAAAAGATGAATTTATGAAGAATCTGGTGCCATCTCATACTTTCGATTAGACCTGCTGAGTTATTTATTTTCAATACATTGCAAGTCAGGTAATTTATTTTCAAACTACCACAGAACAAACCATTTATTTTTGTGATTATCAAGGCTGAGTTATTTATTTTCAAAATCCTCCTGGCCCCCCCCAGAATATCAAATGGTCGTCCCCTAAGGTTGGAATGTCTGTCTACATGGTAAGGGTCATAAACATAATGCAGAAAAGTTTGACTCAGATCTTTTGATTGCCTTAAAAGACATTAATAACACTTGATTGTATTGTTGTCCACCACCAGACGGTTTGTTGCCAATAAGAATGGAATGTCTGTAATGTCTTAATTAATACTTCATATGTAAAAAAGAATACAAGGACTGGAAGTTCTATTTTGTAAGCTTTGGTCACAGTACCTCTAGTCCTGTTTTAGGTGGCAAGACCAATTTATTGATATATAGTGGGTTTATATATATCCCTGCCTTTTTGAGAACATTCTATATAAAAATAAGGAGATGTGGTATGATTGCCAATGGGACAACTACATGTATCCACCAAAGTTCAAATGAAATGAATGTAAGCAATTATAGGCAACTGTACGACCTTCAACAATGAGAATAAAATGCTCCGCTGGGGCGCAGCTTGATACGACCGCAGAGGTCAAACCCTGAACAGTTGTGGCAAGTTTGGACACAACATTCAAGCTTGATACAGCACTGAATTTGGATTGTAATTAAATATTTGACACAGCATAGGTTTCTGACACAGAATGAATGTGGTCTAAGAACTTAAAAATTTTTAATTTACCTATTCAACCATATCATTATTATTTGCTTTTATATATAAATCAGAAATAACCAATTAAAAATGGAAAATTTTAAAGAAAAAAAAGGAAAAAAAATCCCCCCCCCCCCCCCCAAATTTTTTGAACCCCCTTATGATTCATCACCCCCAAACTAAATCCCAGCCTTCCCTTTGTGGTATGGTACCTTGCAGTACAATTTCAGAGATATCCATACACTTGAACACAAGTTATTGTCTGGAAACTAGAAAAATGGTCCGAGTACACAGTTATTTCGTAGTGCATTTCTTTTAGACAATAAACATGATAAATGAAAATAAAAAAAATCCCACCTGCGCTTTCTCAATAATATTTTTACAGTGTGTTGTACTACTTTTGGGACAAATTATATCAAAATTATAGAAAATTTCATCGGCTCTAACTCAAAATATGGACAATTCTATGTTAAGGGGGTCTTGAAATCTTTTGACAGCTTCCGAAGTGCTAATTTTTAACCTTTTTCAGCTGGACCAAATCACTACTTTACTTAACAATTCATGACCCAAATTTTTTTACAGTGTAATTTCATCCCCCTACTTGCTATTTGAGGCATAAAACATGAAGGAATACATTTGGAAGGGGTACTAAAAAAATTGGCATGCAAAACACACTGTCCACACTAGGGACTTTATTCGTGGACAATGAAAATCAAAGGATGATAACTGTGTACTCGGACCTAATAGGATAGAAAAATTTGACCAATCTTAATAAAACTTGGTATGACTAAAGCTTAATAAATTATGAGACTGCTGACAAAGTTTCATGGCAATAGGATATATATTATAGACAATATGATAAATTCTATATTCAACTTCGCGTGTTAAATTTTGACGTTTAAATTGAAAAATTTCAACTATCAACATTTGGGGCTTTAAAAATTAAAATATTGCAAAAAATTACATTTTATTTAAAGGCCTTAATATATGACATATTATGTATTTAAAGCAATAGAATACTCATTTGATTTATCAGACTTATCACAATTATTTAAAAGTCAAATTTATATGAGCCTGTGCCAAAAAATGGAGGTTTTCCAATGAAGGGGGGCCTTACATGAAGATGTATTATTTTCCAGCAATTTTAAAATTTGTGGAGTTTTTTGGTTATAAATAATCCTTACATATGTATTAAATGTACTTTAAATGGAAAGAAAAATTACAAATAGCATACCATATTAGTATAAAAGGGTCTTAAGCCAAGTAAGACTGAAAATAATTTAGGGTCAATTCAGGCTGTAGCACATATTTACATTTAAAAATGCATACTGAAGCTATAGGAAATAAAAATTTGTGTCTTTTTTATAATTTCTATACTCAGGTTACATGATACAATAAATCTGAGCATAAAAGGACTCTTGCATTCAACTTTTTTTGCAGACAGTATGGTCTGATACAAAGATTTTTCACTTTTTAGTGAAAAACTTGCATGCAATTTTAGCCTCAGCAGGCTTATATTTGAACCACTTGCTATTTAACATAAGGAAAGAAAGATACTATGTGAAATGAAACAGGTACAAAAGACATTGTGAAGTGCTTTTAATACAAATTTAGTGAAATGTTTATTATGGACTTCAACTTTTATGTACCTAGGTCCTCACATTTAACTTGATCCAAACAGGCCATTACACGAGGGTCATTTATACAACACATTTTGCACATATTGTCTGAGATAATCTTATTTTCTGTAGATTCAGAGTTCACAAATGAGTAATACAACTGGGTTAAAGCATAGAAACACAAATATTGACACAGGAAAACCTGTCACATAGAAAGTCAGAATGCATCAAAATTAAAAAAGCTTTGAAATGCTTATTTTGACCATATAATGCCAAAATGGGTAATTTTTGCAGAATTTCTATCAAATAAAAGTTTAAATCCTTTAGTTTCATGCTATCTGACAAATTGACACCATTAAATCATTCAGGGAAGTTGCCAAAGTACAGATTCTATATTTACTGATTTCGCCTCTTAGGTCCGAGTACACAGTTATTTCGTAGTGCATTTCTTTTAGACAATAAATGAAAATAAAAAAATTCCCACCTGCGCTTTCTCAATAATATTTTTACAGTGTGTTGTTCTACTTTTGGGACAAATTATATCAAAATTATAGAAAACTTCATCGGCTCTAACTCAAAATATGGACAATTCTATGTTAAGGGGGTCTTGAAATCTTTTGACAGCTTCCGAAGTGCTAATTTCTAACCTTTTTCAGCTGGACCAAATCACTACTTTACTTAACAATTCATGACCCAAATTTTTTTACAGTGTAATTTCATCCCCCTACTTGCTATTTGAGGCATAAAACATGAAGGAATACATTTGGAAGGGGTACTAAAAAATTGGCAAGCAACACACTGTCCACACTAGGGACTTTATTCGTGGACAACGAAAATCAAAGGATGATAACTGTGTACTCGGACCAAATGCTTGTTTTTTTTGCCCCTTTTTGGCCCCTTATTCCTAAATGTTTAGGACAATTACCCCCAAACTCAAACCCAGCTTTCCCTTTGTGATATGGAACCTTGTAGTACAATTTCATAAAGATCCATACACTTACACACACGTTATTGTCCTGAAACTGAAAAAATGCTTGTTTTTTTTGCCCCTTTATGGCCCCTAATTCCTAAAATTTTGAGGCAATTACCCCCAAAATCAATCCTAGCCTTCCCTTTGTGGTATGGTACCTTGCAGTACAATTTCAGAGAGATCCATACTCTTGAACACAAGTTATTGTCTGGAAACTAGAAAAATGCTTATTTTTGGCCCCTTTTTGGCCCCTTATTCCTAAACATTTTGTGCAATTACCCCCAAACTCAATTCTAGCTTTTCCTTTGTGATATGGAACCTTGCAGTACAATTTCATAAAGATACATACACTTCCACACAAGTTATTGTCATGAAACTAGAAAAATGCTTGTTTTTTTACCCTTTTTGGCCCCTAATTCCTAAAATTGGAGGCAATTGCCCCCAAACTCAATCCCAGCATTCCCTTTGAGATATGGAACCTTGTGGTACAATGTCAGAGAGATCCATACACTTACACACAAGTTATTGTCATGAAACTAGAAAAATGCTTGTTTTTTTACCGTTTTGGCCCCTAATTCCTAAAATTTGGAGGCAATTACCCCCAGAATCAATCCCAGCATTCCCTTTGAGATATGGAACCTTGTGGTACAATGTCATAGAGATCCATACACTTACACACAAGTTATTGTCATGAAACTAGAAAAATGCTTGTTTTTTGCCCCTTTTTGGCCCCTAATTCCTAAAATTTTGAGGCAATTACCCCCAAAATCAATCCCAGCATTCCCTTTGTGATATGGAACCTTGTGGTACAATGTCAGAGAGATCAATACACTAACACACAAGTTATGTCTGGAAGTTACAAAAATGCTTATTTTTGGCCCCTTTTTGGCCCTTAATTCCTTAACTGTTGATACCATAACCCCCAAAATCAATCCCCACCTTCCTTTTGTGGTATTGAACCTTATGGTAAAATTTCATAGAGATCCATTCACTTAAACTAAAGTTAGAGTGCGAAAACCAATGTGTCTTCGGACGACTCCGGACGATGACGGCGGCGCCAACGTCATACAAAATTTTTTTGCGTTCGTATAAAAACCCATACTGTATAGTCGTCTATAAAAGGCCCTGACATGAAAAATATGAAACAATTCAATTTAGAAATTTAGCGGCCTAATTTATAACAAAACAATTAATGAAAAACAAATACAACAGACATGAACCAACGACAACCTAATTTCTTTGAAACGGTAGAATTCCCCAACCTTTAAATTGTTATTTTTCAGCATTGTTAACTCTGAAGATGGCTATTGATTGTCTTTTTTTTTTATAATTTATAATCCTTAAATTGTAATCATAACTTGTTATTTTATAAAGTTGATTATCAAATTTTGATATAAGTTTTTTTTGTCATCGATATGTGCTTTGACTAATTGTTATTTTTTCATTCTGTAGAAAAAACAATGGTTTTTTTTATTTTCAGCAAAGCCTCCTGACAAAAAAAAGAAAAAGAGGAATATAATGACAGCAGGTTTATTTATTTTTCTATGTCTCATCTGTATAAACAAATATGTGGGATATGCTTCAGTGACTTTAGAATTAGGGCATTTTGGTTTATATGAAGAAGTAGTTGGTGTTTGCCATATCTATCTTGCTGAAATATTACCCACATTGAATATTTTTTACATTAAGGATGTTCGCTCCTTTGTTTCAAAATAACAAGCTTTTTAAAAGACCATTATAAATTGATAGAATATAAATAAGAGAACTTAAAAATTAGAAAAAAATGATAGGTCCATGTCTTTGTTTCTGAGATATAATCAACTGAAAATTTTCTGGATATGTGGGTTCTAATGGCAAAAGTGACCAATTGACATCTAGATGGAAAATAACTGCCTTCAACAATGGACAAGTATTGACTTGAAAGTTTGTGTCCTTTTTCCAAACTATTGAAATTATTCATAGATTCATGACATTAAGGAACTTGTATTGACAGTTTTGTCGCATTTACTTAATGAAGTTTCTTACTGTTTTTTTTTTCTTTCTAAAAATGTTCAAGAAAGCATTATGGCTAGACTGTGGTTTTCTACAGCAGTTTGTTCAAATTTCTGACCAGTTGAACAGTTTGGTTTTATAAAACAAATTGCAATTTGGTCAGAATTTTGAATAAGTTGCAATAGGTGGAGAGCAACACTAACAGTCAAGTCACAGTAACACTCCTTTCGATTTTGAACTTGATCGATACAATACCACATTAATAAGCTGTTAATTGTTCTGCTTTTATGAAATATATAGGTATTCAACATGGACAACAATCATAAATATTTGATATAAGACAATCACTTCTGAGGTTCCTGACTTGGGACATACTGTGGATTCATTATCATTCGTTGAATACCAGTTTTCATGGTTTTCGAGGGTACAGGTGAACCAGGAATTTAAATGTTCAACGAATTACAAAATTTCTATCAGGTTGTATGCAGACCTTTGCAAAACCACAAAATCACATATCCACAAAAAGGCAAGTTTCCCGCAATCCATGAAAATAAATGTATCCACAGTACACATGAATTTGTGGGTGTTTTTGTCTATTATCTCTTAGTTCAAAGATTGTTGTTTTACTTCACTGAATTTTAATTCACAGCAATGGTTTGCAAATTGTCATTTTGTGTTATCTTGGTCAAATCAATTGAATCTATTAGATAACAGTAGTTTTTCAGTGATTATTTTGCCAAGCAAAGTGGCAGACTTCGACCTAAAAAATTATTTTATTAGGAGAAAAATGTGATAAGATGAAAGATCATTGTTATAAACTGACCACTACTTATGCACATGATGCACACTGTTTCAATTAAGATTCTAATAAATTTGAAAAAAAATGTAGATTGGTTTAAAATATAATGTTCTTTTTCAACAATAAAGCTTTTAGGTGGAAATTATAGTAAATTACGAATGAGGATTATTTTGATGATTAGGATGATGGTGAAATGTAATAAATTGGTTTTACTTTTGAAATTACAAATGAGAAAAAATTTTATGAGAACTTTTTTCATTATTGCATTTAATTAAGAAAATACTTAAAATTATCAAAACTGTGAATTCTGAAACTATTTTTTTCATTAATTTCTATGTATAATTCAGGAGAAAAGAACTACAAGGGAAAATTGGATGATCTGGATGCAAAAATTAGAGGTGAGTACAATGCAATGTTTAATTTTTTTTTGAAAAACAGTACCTAATTGTATTGATTATATAATAACAGGAATATAATGTGGGCATTTGTTTATTTTAGTTACTAATCTTGCTTTTTAATATAAGATTTAGACAACTTTTATATTGTGCGGTCTCCACTGACCTATTAAGAATTTTAGTATCAACTGCAATAGAAGTTATACCGCTGTTGATATAGAAATCATGTTCTCCAACACTCATATATCAGGTGCTGTATCTCCTTATAGATTTAATACAGGAACATTATGAAAAGTGCAGAAGTACACAATCAAAGTAAATGGTTGGTAAAAAATTTGATACAAAACAGAACATAGATATTCCATTTTTGTAATATTTTGAAGTGTAGAAGAGAGGAGAAAGATACCAAAGGGACATTCAAATTCATAAGTCGAATATTAACTGGCAATGCCATGGCAATAAAAAATAGTAAATTGATATTAATTCCGAAAAAATACAAGATGTCATAAAATTTAACAAAACCATTTTATTACGCTAGATGAAAATTTTGATAATTAATATCTCTTCAATGCTTCTTTGCTCAGGCTAAACTGTTTGAAATTCTAAAACCTAATTTTGGAATTCAGGTATCTAGTGGAAGCTAATCTTCTATGTCTGACTGATGACAAGGAAAAATATACATTGGTAAAATAATGAATTTGAATGTTTCAATATTTCAAAACTAAATAAAAAAAAAACATTAGCATATAAGAACATGTCTTTGCAACAGCAAACAAAAGTCCTATATAGTGTCTGTACCAAGGATCCGGAAATTTTTCCAGACAGTTTCGGTCATTTTGAGTTGTTTGAAAAAGTTGGTGCCCCTTTTCAAATTATCGATATCAACTTGACTTTATCTTAGCATCAATGAACATGACGAACTTGTATTGCTGTTTCATTGAATTTACTAAGTAAATGTCTTACCATTACCATGAAGGACAGTTTAGGGAAGGCAACAGTCTAAAATTGAAATGATTTTAATGACTCAAAATGGTTAATTTCTCAGACATAATTTGCTTACGTTTCTTTCGATTTGACAAAAGTTAACACCGGAAGTTTGCGATATTTTAAAGTACGAATAATTCCGGATTCATTTCCGGGATTTGTTTTGTTTATCAAATTGACAGGAAATCACCGGCTTTTTATGGCTTTTTTATTTTATTACCTTTAAAAGTGTTTGAATATAACAGATAATAGTTGCACTCGTTTAATTTAGCATGAAATCAATTTGCATTTTATGATTGAATATTAAATTTGCTGAAGACAATTTCACGCATGCGTATTACATAGTAAATAACGCACATGTGTTACTCATGAAAAAATACTTTTTAGCTCACCTGGCCCGAAGGGCCAAGTGAGCTTTTCTCATCGCTTGGCGTCCGTCTTCATCGTCGTTGGCGTCGTCGTCGTCGTCGTCGTCGTTAGCTTTTTACAAAAATCTTCTCCTCTGAAACCACTGGGCCAAATTTAACCAAACTTGGCCACAATCATCATTAGGGTATCTAGTTTAAAAAATGTGTCCGATGACCCCGCCAACCAACCAAGATGTCCGCCATGGCTAAAAATAGAACATAGGGGTAAAATGTAGATTTTGGCTTATATCTCTGAAACCAAAGCATTAAGAGTAAATCTGACAGGGTAAAACTGATTATCAGGTCAAGATCTATCTGCCCTGAAATTTTCAGACAAATCTGACAACCTGTTGTTGGGTTGCTGCCCCTGAATTGGTAAATTTAAAGAAATTTTGCAGTTTTTAGTTATTATCTTGAATATTATTATAGATAGAGATAAACAGCAATAATGTTCAGCAAAGTAAGATCTACAAATAAGTTGTCATGACCAAAATTGTCAGTCGACCCCTTTAAGAGTTATTGCCCTTAATAGTCAATTTTCTAACAATTTTTTGTAAATTTTTGTAATCTTTTACAAAAATCATCTTCTCTGAAACTACTGAGACAAATTTAACCATACTTGGCCATAATCATTATTAGGGTATGTAGTTTAAAAAATTTGTTCGATGACCCCACCTTCCAACCATCATGGCCGACTTGGTTAAAAATAGAACATAGGGGTAAAATGCAGTTTTTGGTTTATATCTCTGAAACTAAAGCATTTAGAGCAAATCTGACAGGTGGCAAAAATGTTCATCAGATTTAGATTTATCTGCCCTGAAATTTTCAGACGAATCCAACAACCTGTTGTTGGGTTCCTGCCCCTGAGTTAGTAATTTTACAAAAATTTTGCAGTTTTTTGTTATTATCTTAGATATCATTATAATATCTAATATCTAATACTATTAATTATGATTTTAACCTTATTTTACATGATTTCCAAAGCATCAGTAAATACAGGTGAGCGACACAGGCTCTTGAGAGCCTCTAGTTTCTACGTAAATTTAGATTTAATTTTTAAATCAGAATTGATGACTGTCTTTGATGAAAAGTAAATAAATAATGAATATACTTGTCAGGGAACTTTAATGTTTTAAAGATATTATTCTGAGCTTGTGATCACTGTCAGGTGTGAATTAAAACCCCAGGTAAAAAGTGATTAGCGATCATTAGCCAATGTTTCCCGGAGGCATTGATATAGATATTAGGAGGGCCCTCAGGATTATCAAACTACTGTAGTGGCAGTTTTATTACAGGAATGGGATTATAAACAAAAACAAGTGATCACAAGTGCAAAATGGCGATTAAGAAATCCGATTTCAAACATTGAGTCAATGAAATGACCGAAATTACTTCTGTAAAAAAATAAAATTTGTCCTAAATCCCAATTACTCGTTTAGGACAAATAGTTTCATCTTAGGACATGACTGGCAAATATGACCGTTTCCGGACCCTTGGTCTGTACCCAAAAATAAGACATCTCTCAGTTCACAAGAAAAACAAATAAGTTGTTTGATTTCATATAAAAATAAGGAGACATGGTATGATTACCAATGAGACAACTATCCACCAATGTTCAAATTAAGTGGATGATATGCAACCTTCAACAATGAAAAATACCTATACTCTATAGCCAGCTATAAAAGGCCTCTACATGAATAATATCTAACAATTCAATATAGAAACTAACGGCCTAATTTATAACAAAACAATTTACAAAGAACAAATATGACAGACATGAACCAAATCCAACGACAACCACTGAACTACAGTCTCCTGACTTGGGACAGGCACATATAGAATGTGGCGGACTTAAACATGTTTGGAGGCACCAACCCTCATGTTTTACAAATTTTACAACCAGACCCTTCATGTCTTTTATCTTCAAGCTTCAGATCGAATTACTTTATTTTTAATTCAGATTTAATCAGGCATGATATGATCCCAATGTTGCCAACTGGGAAGTTAGTATGCAAATTTTGTGGTAAAGAATTTTGGTTGGTCAGAAGTTTACAGAAGCACCTAACTTTCTCACATCTTGAAAAGGGAGGTCAAATCTATATTAGTGCAGAAGAAAATCTTGCCTACCATTTTGAGCGGAGGATTGAAGAGATGAAAAAGGGAACAAAAGAACTTTCTTTTGAACATCAAGACAAAAAAATGGTTATACCTAAAATGCATACATCTGTTGAAACTGAAATAAATTTATTGGATAATTCTGCTAGGTCAGATATTGAGATTATTCTGACGAAGATTAGTTGCAGTAATGACCAACTGCTAAACACTATTTATACTACTGATATCTGGTATTGTCGAACATGCAACCAGAATTTTTCAGGAAATAATTTGACAATGCAACTGCAAAATCATTCATGTGGTCAAGAATTCTCAGTACTGTACATCTATCCTCAAGGGAACATTACACTACCATCAGAGTCAAATGACATACCATCGGCTCCTTATCCAGATCTTGAGAGTTTTTTGATGGAAAATGGATTAGTTTACGTTAAAAGTACCGATACTTGTGGAATTGAGACTCAAAGTAACAGTGGAATTGAGACTCAAAGTAACAGTGGAATTATGACTCAAAGTAACAGTGGAATTGAGACCCAAAGTAACAGTGGAATTGAGACTCAAAGTAACAGTGGAATTGAGACCCAAAGTAACAGTGGAATTGAGACTCAAAGTAACAGTGAAACTGAAATCAACAATAAAGTAGAAAGTGTAAGCAATTTTGTTGAAGCAGCAGCAGCACATGTTAATGAAAGTGGGCGTGTAGTAGACAGTGTCAATCAGGTTACCAGTTCCGTAATGAATAACAGTTTAAATGTCAGTATAATTGATAATGTACCAACAAAAATACAGAGCAAAGTAGGAGTGACTGTCAGTCAAGTTATTGATGTACTGAGAAATCTTTCTGAAAATACCAAAGAAGGAGAAAGTGTCAGTCAAGTCAATAGGGTACCAGTAAGTGTCTGTAGCATTACTAGTGAACCACCAATTGTCACCAAAGAACCAAAAAGTGCCAGTAAAATAGCCATTGAAAAAATGGATGTAGTTGAAAGTGTAAACAGAGCCTGTAATTTAGCAAAAGATAGTAACAAAGATTCATATGCATCTGATATTCAAGGCTATAGCAATGATATTACAGGAATTGTAGAGAAGTTCAAAGAAGCTTTTAAGTTAAAATTTGGACAAGATATAAACAAGATGAGGTGTCCTAAGTGTCTCAAGGAGGTTTATTTAGATGATTTTGATGAACATAGCTGTGAAAACATACAATTGAAAAATCAAGTACTAAGATTTTGTTCTGGTTGCAAAATTGGTTTTCTTTCAGAGTCTCAGTTGAATGCTCACACCTTTTTTGAACATAAGGACAAATCTCAGGATGTAAATTTTGGACTAGATGTTCAATCTGATGTAAGTACGAGAAGTCTGGATCATAAAGAATTAAACACACAGTTCAAACAAACTATAATTCAGGCAGATGTCAAAAAGCAAATAGACAATATGTTAAAAACATTACTTGAATCAAATACAATTACTTTTGATGAAATTTTTCGTATTTTTGAACAAGGTCATGCACAAAATATGCAAAATCAAATAGAAGATCAGAAAAAAGTTGCAAAAGTGAAAGAGAAAAGGAAAGTTGATGCAGGAATAGTTAATAGTGAAAATACCAGTATTGGTTGTAAGATTTGTAAAACTTTCACGTCATGTGAAAAGTTATCTTCACATTTTTATCTTGTACATTGTTCTAATACAAAATGTTGTAGGTTCTGTGAAGAAATGTATGTAGGAAATGTTCATTACTGCTGCAAAGAAAAAGAACCAAAATATATTGCAAGGAAAATTCAAATGTATGTAATAAATAAAAGACCAATCAAAAAAAGACCCCAAAAAAGATCGACCAAAAAAAGCCAGGTATTTGGACAGGTATTTGGGCAGGTATTCTGTCATTGTGAAATCTGTAAAGTGGGATTCCTATCTCTGCCTAAATTAAATGCACACATTTTTAATGAGCACAATGTAAAACATGAATGTGTTTCTTGTGAGATGATCTTTGCATCTGCAAACTGTGCTGAAAAACATTTTTGTAGGGAAATACCAAAACAATTGAAAGAGAAGAATGGTGTGACTGGTTTGTATGAAATATGTTATGATAAACAGAAAGATGATGTACAAAACCGAAGAGAACAGCAAAATCAGAGCATAACAAATTATTTGAAGTGTCCAGAATGTGACGAAGAGATTGGTGTTGATGATTTTAAAGGGAGCAATGAACTACAATATCAAGTGATATATACCTGCGGAAATTGCAAGCTTGACTTTAAATCCTATTTTTGCACTTTGTGCAAATGTCCTTTCAATTCTTTGGAAATGTTGTACTCACATTTTTACAGTCAACACCGAAAGGACACTAAATGTTGCCTCTTCTGTCGACTGGCATATGTAGGGGATAGTCATTATTGTGGGAAAGGAAAAACATCTGGTGAAAGCAGTGAAATAGTTACTAAAAGAGAAGGATCATATTACAAAATGTATTATAAAAAAAAGTTCAAGAAACAGAAATGTTTACAGTGTGAATATATGATTAACTTTTGTAAAGAAAACACTGACCTTATTTCTTGTAGCCAATTAGATTGTATTGCATGCCGGAAAGTTGGAGCATGTCATGGCGACAAGTGCTATATCTGTGGACAAGTTTTCCATTCTTTCTCTCATAGATCATATCATGAATACAAAGATCATCAGGATGAAGTTATAGAACTATGGAGGACTAGAAAGAAAGAATATAGAAGAGAATATCTTAACGATTATAATATAAAGAGGTATCAACAAAAAAGAAAAGACCGACATAAGTGCAGATTTTGCGACAAGAGGTTCACTTACTCTGTGAAAAAGAAACAGCATGAATCAGATGCACATGGTGTTCATGGTAGCAAAAAATATCATTGTGATGTTTGTGACCAGAAGTATGGAAGTTTTGAAAGGATGAAAAAACATATGGAAGAACATTATAAATCTGAAGGTACGCCCAATACAGAAGAAAGGTTGGCCAAAATAGAAGAAATGTTACCAAAAAAAGACAAAAGAGTAATGTGTCATGAATGTGGTAAATTGGTACTTAAAAAATATTTAAATGCACATTTAAGGATACATCTTGAAACTTCTAATGATGGTAAAACTTCACCCACAACAGTAGGAAAGATAGCTTGCTATAAATGTGGTCAAATGGTCAAGAAAAAGAATTTTAATGCCCATTTTCGTGAACGGCATAAGGAGAAAGAAGTAATGTGTGAGATTTGTGGCAAAATGTTTTTTCATCGAGGCAGACTAAATGAGCACAAAAAAATAAAACATTCTGAAGATATAGAAAAAAAGGTCAAAAAGAAAGGACCACCACAGCAATGCAACGTTTGTGGAAAAATTTTAGCCGACAAAAAGTGTTTGTACGTTCATGAGAAATTGAAACACACACAAGGGAAATTCCAGTGTCAAATTTGCAGTAAGAATTTTTTTTACAATTTCTTACTGAGAGACCATATCAAACATGTTCATGAGAAATTCAATCCAATTGTTTGTCATTACTGCAATTACAGGTGCTATATGAAATCATCTCTTGTGAAACATATGCAGTACCATCATTAATTCACTGGGTTATTGAATTTTGTGCACTAGGATGTCAATTTATTTTATTTACAAAGTAATGGAGGGCAGTACTTTGGCAAAGGCATCAACAATTTGTTTAAGTTTGTGATTAGGTCTGTTTAAGGGGAGCAACTAATGGTAAATCATATTTGGTGGTAAACTGTAATAACTATAAGTATTGGCACATCTCATATACACTGAGATTAATTTTACCCGCCCCCTCAGTCATGGTGTATTGATTTTTAAAACATTTGCATAGCTCACATGTTAAAGTTGGTGATTAGGATGAATCATTACTGGTATTAAAGTCATTGATATTTTGTATGCAGTTGTATATAAAGGTCAAATAAAAATATATGTTTGGTTCCATTTCCTGACCTATGCGGTTTTAAACCCCAATTCCTAGCACCTTTTTCCCATTGATGATGGAAATAAAAAGTTAAAAATAGTGACAGACTCTACTTTCAATTCTTTCCCAGACGAGAAAAATGTCACAGTATACTTCATAACTTTAAACCATAGTTAAAATTGTCCCTAAGTAATGTTTATAGCAGTTTGACTATCTATTTCCTTCCTAGTACATGTAGTGTCAAAGATTATTACCTGTTTGTGGTGTTTTTGGTCAAGTCAGGTTAAAGTTTTTGGTCAAGGTAGTTTTTGCTGAAGTTAAAAGTCCAATCAACTTGAAACTTAGTATACATGTTCCCTACAATATGATCTTTCTAATTTTAATGCCAAATTAGAGTTTTGATCCCAATTTCACAGTCCACTGAGCATAGAAAATGATAGTGCGAGTGGGGCATCCGTGTATTATGGACACATTCTTGTTTATTATTATTATTTCATAAAGTATTCCAAAACGAATTTATTTGCAGTTATGTTCAGTTTAATCAGCTCCCCTCAAAGAAATATTACATTTTGCTAAATGTTACCTCTATTTTCAAAATTACAGATTCTTTGATGCAATAAAAAATATTTGATTTTTATTCAACTGTTTAAATATGTCTTTCAAAAATGTAAGGGGTTACCGGTAAAAGCAATCAATCATTTATCAATTCTGGTTTGATAACCATATTCTTGAATTTGAATACAAACGAAAGACTGATTTGAAGAAGGTAATGTGTTCAAAATATTGGCCTCACAAATGCTGAGTTAAAATTATTATATAATATAATCAATCTTCTGTTATTAAATATTCTTAGAACATTGTAGAATGAATATTTAACTATATTAACAGGTATGGCAATAAACGTATTTACACTTTTGGTATTTAGCTATATTTTGCCTCCGAATGACCTTAGAGGTTGCAATTCTGTAAATACAGACAATGCAATTTCCCATAGGAACTCCCTTTGCGGCTAAAACTGTGACACTTTTACTATGAAGTTTCGTGAAAAATAATATCCCAGAACGGAAAGTTTATATGCACTAGTATTTTATTCAAAGGTCAAAATATAGGGCTGTGCGGCATATTTTCAACATTTATATGCCCTGAACTTCTAAGAGTTTAAACTTATACTAAAATTCTATACTACCCTTACCTCCATTTTTGGACCTCCTAAGAATTAAAATTTAGCCGCTACCATGTTTATCTATACTGGTTACATTCCCAAGTGATGTCTCTATGAGATGAAACACAGAGATCATCAATGGGAACCAGTACGTTAACAAATTAACATACCTATGAATATTAAATATCTCCCCAAAAGAGGCGTGGTTTGAGAAACAGCTGTATTTACAAAGTGCAACCTATACAAACATTTTTTCAAATAGAAAACTCTCTAAAAACACTTTTTCTCACAACAATACTTATTTATCAGAATTATAGCCTTAAAGAAATCACTGCATATACTCTAAGTCTCCTTTTACAGTACATTTTATACCCCTACCCCTGTTTCAATTTTTTAAAGATTTTGAAAACAAGACTCTAATTATTGCCAGCTTACCCTATGTGCATGTTTTCTGACATGAACTGTCTAAAACCTGTTTGAAACTATTCTGATAACAAATTGAAAGCATTTTAGAATACTATAAATGTTTTGTTTAGTAGTTAAGCATTCCAACATTCAAGATTATACAAAGTATCCAATCCTGCCTGTGTCTCCAGTCCACATCTTACTGTATGCCTATTTGTCAATGAAAGTTCACAATTTCTGCCTCAAATGGTCAGTTTAGAATTCTTGTCACAACAGTATCATCCCTAACCATATATCTAACATAAGTTAGTTAATATATGTCCTAGAAGTGTTTAAACAAAGGCATATTTGCAAAAGTTGCATTTATGAAGATATCAGTCTGGTGCATAAATTCACTAAAAGTTTGATTGAAATGACTGCTTACATCTGATTTTTGCATAACTTCCTAGCACAGTTATTGTTTACTTTATAAAAGACCTTTAAAATAAAAAAATCATAGCATTTACAAGTTAAATTATCTGTTTTATGACTCAGGGGTAGGCATTTTCCTCTGTTTTTTGCCCCTGGGGCCTCACATTTCCTAATTTTTTTCCCTGTTTCTAGCAATGTGAAATATTTACTACACATTTAGGATAGAACACACTATTGTAAGTTTTACTGAGGTCTTTTTGTAATTCTAGCTTGTACTTTTTTATGCCGCAGTCACAAAAAAGCACATTTAGGCGTTACGGCTTACTTTTGGGTTATCGACAGGACAAAAACACCCCACCAGAAATATTTAGGAAGGATCAATGAGTTGCAATTACTGCGAAGAGTAAATATAAGCACTTCTAAACAATTTAAATTACAAATAGGCATATATTATGAATTTATTTTGAATTCAGGGCTTTAAGTAAACCATGCATACTGTAAACTGTGAATTTATGCTGAGTCATCATAGTTAAGGCCCAGGATTTTCTCAATCTTCATGAAATATTTATAAAACTTCATATTTGAGTTAAATTCTTTAAAATCTCTGAGATAAACCAGATTTTGTGAAATTCTGTATGTTCTATTTTTTAACCCTATATAGGTTGCAATTCTGTAAATACAGACAATGCAATTTCCCATAGGAACTCCCTTTGCGGCTAAAACTGTGACACTTTTACTATGAAGTTTCTTGAAAAATAATATCCCAGAACGGAAAGTTTATATGCACTACTATTTTATTCAAAGGTCAAAATATAGGGCTGTGCGGCATATTTTCAACATTTATATGCCCTGAACTTCTAAGAGTTTAAACTTATACTAAAATTCTATACTACCCTTACCTCCATTTTTGGACCTCCTAAGAATTAAAATGTAGCCGCTACCATGTTTATCTATACTGGTTACATTCCCAAGTGATGTCTCTATGAGATGAAACACAGAGATCATCAATGGGAACCAGTACGTTAACAAATTAACATACCTATGAATATTAAATATCTCCCAAAAAGAGGCGTGGTTTGAGAAACAGCTGTATTTACAAAGTGCAACCTAGATCTACTCCGAATCACCTTTTGACGTCAGGCAACAATCACTTTTTAATTGTGACGTCAAATGTTTTGAATTATAATGTCAAAGTTTACGGGAACCTGTGTGATTTTACATAATGGCGAAAAAATTTGCATACAAGTGTAAATACGTCTATTACATAAGGATTTTTTTGTTTGAAGGATTGTGAAAACATGTTAAATACGGAAAATTATTATGTCTATGTAAACTTTAACAATAAATGTTTTATAGAGATATTTTTCTTTTGGTCTTTTATAAGTGTCAATCTCTCTCCCTGAAATAATTGCAAGCTTGGTGCCACATGCTCTGTATTGAGTGGT